CAGTTCTACTAGTTAATAAGAAAATGCATCAAATGTGTAACTGTTCAATAATTCAATGTTGTAAAAAAAAAAATCTGATCATAAAGATGTGCTACTTATGGTACTTTTACAAATTTAAAAATATTTTATGTTTGTAATATTTTTATGATCAAATAACATTAAAAAAAAAAATTTCGCTGAGATTTGAGTAATTTCGTTGTGTATTCTACGTAAAAACGCTGTTTTGTGTCATGGTTATGCAATGACATCACAACGTCATTTAGCAACAAATCGATCTGCTTTTAGCAACTTCCCCTGAAAATTATTTGGCAACGCTGGCTGCGAGATCCAGTGAGAAGCGTTTGAATTCGCCGCACAATGATAAGGTTGCTGGTTATAAACCGCGCTGACATACGTCAGGAAACCAGAAGCGGTAACGCTAACTCTAACCATGGTGTTGTGGCAGAACGAGTCGAATGCATTACATCATTCATTCCAGAGTTTGTACAACCTTTTGAGAGAGAAATTCAAACTAGAGCTGTGCGATATTGAAGAAAAATGCGATATGCGATACCTTGATGTCAAATCTGTATAAACAATAAACATTAGAAAAATAAACAAGAAATGAACATGTAATATTATTAGTAACTGCACTTATTAATCTGCTCTCAAATGTTAGTCTGGAGTTCGGTTCAGTGCTGCTCCAGCATCTTTAGAAGAATAGTGTACCCTAAAAAAAAGAGTTCAGATGAATCAGGGGTCAGAGGTCAAAGTGGGAGGAGCTACAAAGACAGAATTAAAGTGACAGTAGTGAAAATCCACCATTGTACGGTAATGACGTGAGGTGGTTTTATCATGGTACACTAGCACTCGAAAGTTTAGACAGCTTCATTCTTTACTGTTGCTCTCAAATTATAATAATAAAGTCATCAAAACACACAAATGCTAATCTCATGTCGCTCATACTCTTTCTTCTCGCATAATAAAAATCATAATTTTTATTTGATATAATTATTTGATTTATTTGTTTACTTATTATTTAATTTAGTTATTTATTATTTAACTGTTTGATTATATACTTATTGTGATTCACTTATTTAATTACTTTATTTCTATACTTATTTATTTAATTATGTACTTATTTACTTATTTAATTTTCTTTCTTTTTTTTACTTTTTTGTCAATTTTATACTTATTTAATTGTGTACTTATTTATTTACTTATTAATTTCATTTATTTGCTTTTTTTTTTACTTAACTGTTTCATTATGTACTTATTTAATATTTACTTCAAAACACACAAATGCTAATCTCATGTCACTCATACTCTTTCTTCTCGCATAATAAAATCGTAATTTTTATTTGATTATTTTATTCATCTGTTTACTTACTAATTATTTAATTATTAATTTCGTTATTTATTATTTAAAGGGATGGTTCACCCAAAAATGAAAACTTGATGTTTATCTGCTTACCCCCAGATGTAGGTGACTTTGTTTCTTCAGTAGAACACATATGATGATTTTTAAGTCCAGCCGTTGCAGTCTGTCAGTCGTATAATGCATGGCAATGGTAACAAAATCTATGAGAGTAAAAAAAACATGCACAGACAAATCCTAATTAAACCCTGCGGCTCGTGACGACACATTGATGTCCTAAGACACGAAACGATCGGTTTGTGCCAGAAACCGAACAGTATTTATATCATTTTTTACCTTGAGCGCGTGCACGGCATTCGGTGCGTGAGGTGTGTACGCGCTCTGGCGTAGTTTACGTTAATGGGTGTGTTGTCGCGGGAGGAGCAAACGACAGACACAGTTTATTAACAGAAAATAAACAAAGTGTCCAGAAAAAAGGGAATCAAGTGTCCAAAATAAACAGGGGATCTGGTGTCCTCGTTGTGCTGCGGGGTTCGTGCAGGGAAGGGCAGTGGTCAGGAAGACTGCTTCCATCTGAACTGGAAGCGGGATGATGTTGACTAAGCAGCTGACGGCACGTTATTCCACTTCCAGACATTTACATGGTTTTCACAACATCAAAGTAGGCTACTTAGCTTGTTGCATTTACAGAAACATAGTAATACCGTGGTAGTTTTGGTGCTTTTTGAATGCAGATCTGTGAGTTCAGAAAGTGAGAACGCTTGAAATTGTTAAGCATGAAGCAGTGAAGAAAGAAATGACACCCAGAAACCATTAATCTGCTGTGTGTGTGTGTGTGTGTGTCTGTGTGTCTCTGTGTGTGTGAGTGAGTGTGTATGTGTGTGTGTGTTTGTTTGTGTGTGTGTGTTTGTTTGTGTGTGTGTGTGTCTCTGAGTGTGTGTGTGTGTGTGAGAGAGTGTGTGTGTGTGTGTGTGTGTGTGAGAGTGTGTGAGAGTGTGAGAGAGTGTGTGAAAGTGTGTGTGTGAGCGTGAGTGTGTGTGTGTGTGTGTGAGAGATTAGATAAGCAGTTATGCTGAATTTCCACTCGGCTGTAAAGTTTCTGTTGAGAGTTGCTGATTGGAGCAAAATTAAAGCGTCTCGTCATGCTGATTATTGTATCTCACCAACAGCCCGTTACGCACGCGCGCACACACACACACACACACACACTCACTCACTCACTCACTCACACACGCTCAAACACGCACACACACACACACACACATATATATAAAAATGTGTAATTTTATTTATTTGTTTAATTGCTAAATATATATTTTAAATATAGTAACGCTCGTGACTCGTGAGTGTTTGTTTGCTGGTGTTTGTTTGTCTGGCGCTCATGAGGAGACAGCGCTGGTGTGTGTGAGATGAACGGATCTTATGTGTGTGTGTGTGTATGTGTGTGTGTGTTTGTGTTTCAGCCCGTGTGCCGGCGTGTTCCCTCCGCGGCCCGCGGCAGATCCCAGCATTCAGCGCCGGCGGTTGCTGATGACGAGCGCTCGTGGACGGGACAGGAGAGTCTGGCTCAGGACGATCCAGAGATGTGGGACCTTCTGCAGAAGGAGAAGGACAGACAGAGCCGAGGACTGGAGCTCATCGCCTCTGAGGTGACAGACCGACCCATGTTACTCCACACCACTTTCAGATTAGTCTAATTCATTAATTGAATTAATCACAAATTAATTACACATTAATTTTGGCTGAGAAATCACCCCCTAAAAAGATCATTTAAAGTCACTAGTTGGCCAGTAGTTGGCAGTGAGTCACTGTCTTAATGAGTGAGCATTAAGTCATTCATTCAACCAATTTGTTCAAATGGCTGATTCATTCAGAATGAAGCAAGTGACTGTCTTTATGAATGAATCACTAACTCACTTGATTTGTTCAAACGTCTCATTCATTCAGAAACTGAGAAAGTGACTCTTTATGAATGAGTCACTGAATCATTAACTCACTTTATTCATTCAGACAGCTCGTTCATTCAGAAATGAAGCAAGTGACTCTTTATGAAAGAGTCATTGAATCATTTGAGTCGTTCATACGCCTGATTCATTCAGAAACTAAGCAAGTAACTGTCACTGAATCATTGACTCACTTGATTTGTTCAAAACCGTGGATTCGTTCAGTGATGAATCACCACTGTGTTGATCAGAGACGCTCAACAGTTCTGCTGTGGCTTTGATTGGAACTATTTTCATTTGTGGAATTGATCAAAATTAATTTGTCATATATATATATATATATATATATATATATATGACAAAAAGTACCGATAAGAATACCGTTAAAGTACCGAATCGATAAGCAGTATCGATGAGTAGTGATACCGTTAAAACCTTAACGATACCCATCCCTAGATTTCGCTCCCCTTGTGACGCGGCAAAGGGATCTCATTATAATATCACCGCCCCTTAATCTGTAAGTTTACACCCACGGCGCCATCATTTTGATTTTGCAAGCGACAACGGTGTAATGCCATGGCTAAAGTTTGAGCAGAACATGCTAACTGTTCTGTGTTTAGCTGCACAGACGAGCACAGAACACTATTTACAGT